ATGACCACAGGTATTCTAAGCTATAACAGTATCTGTTCCTCTATCAGATATAAATATGAGCTGCCACTCGACTAAAAAGGCAGATCAGTTAATGCACATTAAAAAAAAGGTTATTGGTTTTCCTAAGTTACTGTGATTAGACGTGCCAACACTCACACAGAGAGGGACACACACATATCTACAGCTGCAGCGTTTGATCTTGCCAGTGCACTCTGTACCCTTCACACAGATGAAAGACTGGCAGGCAGTCCTGAAGGCTGACCAGCTCTAAGGCATGTTTCCTGATCCCTCAGCCCTCCATTTCCTCTCTGATTCTTCCCTTCTCTTCCCATCCTTTGTTATACTTTTCCATCTATTTATTTATTCTGAACACTTTCATTTACACCATGAAGACTGTACTTTTCGATACGCAAAGAAAGGGCAAAAGAAATGGTTAAGGTGCACCAGTGCATACAAATGTTAGGTCACGCTGAACGATTAACAGATATGTCGAGGCCAGCTGGCCAGCACATGCAGAGATTGGCTTTGGCACAGCTAAGAGAACTCCTTGCTTCCCTGTCCCAATGCAAACATCTTCTCATAACCATTTCTAATACCAATCACTATAAAATGCCAACAATGACAAGATATGAGATTTAGAGTGCCAAACTTCTACAGTATTAGGTGTCACTAGAGGTAAATCTATATACATCTTGTCATAATGTTTCCAGACACACTCTGCTTATTGAATATTCTTTCCCATCTGTCATCCATCTCGTCTCTCCCTAGCATCCCCTCTTTTTCTTTTGTCCTTTTGTTTTTCACCCTCTCTGGGCCTCCTGAGACATGGAGCGCCCCAGGGCTTTGGGTGCTTTGGCAAACTCCATGAGGGTTGGCTTGACTGGAGGGAGATCTCTGGTGATTTCATCCACCGTCCTCTTGCTGGGACACACTCCATCTGGAGTGGGAAATGGCTGCAGGTCCTCCAATGTGTGTGGCGCTCCACGTCCGAGCCTGACGCCCAGCTCTGCAGGGGTAAAGATGGGCAAGGGGAGGGTGTTTCTCTTTGGAAGCAACTGGTGCTCCCTGACCCCTCTTTCCACTGTGCCCACCCTAAAGACACCAGAGGGACACTTCTGTGTCAGTGAACGTGCCTGCCACTGCCGGGACAGAGTCTCCCTACGAGAAGTGTCGTTCATGTTCATGGTCTGCCTGTGGGCATCAAAGGAAAGTTGAAGTTAGAAACTACTGAGGGCCTTATTGTAATTTACCTTCCCAATTAACATTTAACTGCTTTTCACTATGAGAATAATTTTCAAGTCAATCTTCATCCATATTTTATGAGAGTAAGAAAAGTTTGAAATTACAGCCTAGTGAATGTTTTCCTCTCATTTAAAAGCAACTTATCATATTATACGGTCTTACCTATAACAAGACATGATCTCATTGGTCCTACCTGTCTTGAGGTTGAGTCTTGAGACTAACGCTGTGCCAGTCAGCAGTATAGCTCTCCCTCTGAGCCTTGTTGTCTTCCCTCACACTGCAGGTCAGCTCAGCTCCCACCAGCACACCATTGCTCTTCTCCAGCACGGTACAGATTGGCATCTTCTCAGGTGCAGATAGATTTATCGCCTTGAGTGGGTCTTGTTGATCAGTCCGAAGGTAACAGGAAACAGTGATGCTTCAGTCGGCTTTACTTCTACTCTTCCACTATCTCTGTCCTTCTTAGTGCTGTCTATGTCCAGGCTTAGGACTGTCCACAGCTTTTATAGATGCTCTGTTTCTATTTTGGATTCATGTTGTCACTCTACAATCAGTGTGCTTGGACATCTGACACCAAGTCCTCCGTGCCTCATTCCCTGACAGCTGGAAGTTTCCCTGCAGTGGGGTTCAGGGGTAATACGACTGAAAATCCCCTGATTCTCAAATTGAATGCTGGGCCTGCTCTTGTAATCAGTCAGCCCAACTCTTTCCACTTCACTTGTGATCACAGAGGGGGAAATATTACAGAAACTATGGATGGAATAATGTAAACATGTACACAGACAGACACAAATGGTTTAGACTTAGCAGAGGAATCTTAATAAGATTATAGCCATGATATACACAAAGCAGCAAAGGAGAGCCAACCGAAGCCAACCCTGTAGAGCCAGAAACTACCTACTAATTTTCAGTCCAGTTCTTTCTTTTTTCTTTTTTGTAAACAGTTACTTAAAAAGCCATCACGTGACCCGACGGTTTTAACTAATTATAAGCCAATCTTCAACCTTCCTTTCATCTAAAAAATCTTGAAAAAGTAGATGTAAAACAGCTTACTGATAATCTGCAGAGGGATGGTTTATTTGAAGAATTTCAGTCAGGTTTCAGAACTCATTACAGTACAGAAAAAGCTTTAGCGAAGGTTACAAATGATCATCTTATAGCCTCTGACAGTGGACTCATTTCTGTGCTCTGTCATGGTTTGGGGGATTTTGTCAGAGTAGATTGATGTAACCCTCAGATTTTGATTCACAATGCAGTTCTATCTGGCGTGTTAAGTGTTTGACTGCTTCATTTTTCAGCATGACATTGATCCCAAACACACTCCCAATGGAGGAAAAGAATATATATATGGAAAAACACAATGGAGCACTATTAGTCATGGATTGAAACCCGTATTTCTAAAGATGACTGAAGAATTTCTGAAGAAATTACAAAAGCTTGCCTACCATTATTCAGGTTAAAGAATAAAGGTGGCCATACCAAGCTAACTTCTGCAGTCTAATTTGATGATTGGCAGCACACGCCATCTCTTGGATCAAAATTCATGAGTAATTTGCTTGCTTATAATGTAAGATAAACAAGCAAATACCTGACTAAATATTTATAACAACATGTGAAAATTATCTAAAGTTTGTGTTAACCACAATGTTTTAGACATGAAGCCAAAAAACATCAAAATGAGAACCAGGATAAAGAAATGCAAAATTATGTCCATGCTTTAGGACAGCATTTGTCAAGCTAGCTGACAAATTAGCATTTCACACACTTGCCTAAGTATTGTCACCTCTGGCTCCAAAAAACAAAAATAACACGGAAGCTATAGAGGGTGTAAAATGTGAGTTCACAAACCACATTATGTCACAGTGGCAACATCCATCTTTTATATACAGTCAGTTGTCAGAAAAATGGTGAAAAAGCCATACAAGTAGCAGTGTCATTTTTCTCATGCTGTTTTTTTTTATTCATAATACAGCTTTGAATAAGTTTATACCCCCGCCAGGCTTCATGACAACATCATACCCCCTCATTAGATGCCATTACACTGCGCTGTCTCACAGTAGCAGTGAGAGCTCAGTCTCCAGTGATTCATTACCTCAGTGAAAGAGCGCCATGCAGGCCATAATCAACTCGGGTTACAGGCTGTGAAACACACACACACACTCACTCACACTCACCTCTGACAGTTATCTGCTGGTCTGATGTTACTACCGATTCCCGTTTCTGACTCACTAATCCACATCAGGTACTGATATCATCATATACCAGATATCATATACCTCAGACACAGCATAAAATATAATCATCCCAAGCAAAAGAAGCCTGATGTGTTAATCGATTTTTTATTTTCTTTTAAGGTTTTTGCTGTACTGTGCCAGATTGTCTGAAAAACAAATATGATCATAACTTTGTGATTCTTTGAGTATATTTCTTGACTTCGGGTAAATTAATGCTATTCCTCACCACTGACTCTTCGTGTCGTGCATATTTAAGGCAACAGTTAAAGGCTAACATCCATTTGCCTGCAAATTCCAAAAATATTTCACTTTTCTTTCAACAATCTCCCAGCAGGCTGCCAGTATATATGTAACAGTGTCATATGAGTGTCATACTGAGAAAAGAAAACGATAAGCATCTCCTGGGTCATTGATTCAGTCATGTTATGACACCATGACAACCTTGAATGCCATTTCAGAAACCCAGTAAGTCACCATGCAAGCTCCTTCTGTGTTGAGGTCATGTCTTATTAGAAGCTACTTTATGTGAAGCAGTCAGTTGTAATACACAGAGTGACAATTTAAATTTGTGCTGTCTATTTATTTGTACACGCACAAGCCAAAATCCAAGAGGCCATCAGATAGCCCTTTCCTAGCTGTTTTCGGGTGAGTCATGCTATGCAAATGGAGCCAGGGGTGTGTGTATAGTTTGTAAAGGTGAGCAGTGATGAGGTTAGGTCTGTCACAGTGATCACCCCCCACCGTCCTCGTCTGTCCACCTGCACAAGGCCTGGCTCGGCCGGGAAGAACTTTGTGTTGCATAAGAGCACCGCCACAGCTGCTGCAAAATGACATTTAAATGAGCTGTCACCGCGAAAGAGATAGGGAGTAGGTGGGAAAACAGAAAGAGAAGGGCAATTGCAGGATAAAGCCAAGGCTTGTCAGGAGGTGGTAAATATGGCAAAATATTGTGAGAGGGGAACTTTAAGTCGGATTTATTTGTAACACGAAAATGACTTTGGGAGGAGAGAGGAACAGGTCAACCTGACACTTGTACTTGATAATAAAAAGGGATCTGGCTTTGTATTAATTCCTGCACACAGTATCAACTTTTGTGCGTCATATAACTCAGTTGTTACCAGTTATTTGTGTATCTGTGCGCCATTGTACCATCGGGCTGGTGCCGTGTTCAAACATGTGCCCTCAACAGTGTATTGCTCTCTCTTACATAACAATAACAAACAGCTGACTACCAAAACACCATTATCACCATCCATCTTGCAACCCGACCTGGTCTCACTGGGACGGTCAGACGCTGGACATGCCGCTTCAGAACAGGGACAGAGTCCAAGCCAGCCATGGATGCACAGCTGACGGGCCACATGAGAGTATACAGACAGATGAAGAAGATTCTTATGTTCCACTTCAAAAGACTGTTGCTCCCATGCCACAGTTTCCATTGCTCAGTACGCTTAACTGAACGTAATTTTAAATATCATTGAAAATTAGAGTCTAGTTCGCTCGTTTGAATTTATGTAACTTTATGAATAGCAAGCAACCTGACATGAGAAAGATGCATGTGACATTACATAAAACAGGCTTTAGGCTGGAACTTTATTTCAAGGTAACTTCACACCAAAACACAAACTATCGCATACTTGTATAAATCTTTCACATTTTCAGCAAATTGCTGAACAGGAAAAACATTCTTCCATCTCAGTCACGCAAACAACCAACTTAAAAATTCAACTTACAGTACTCGCATTGCATTTCTTTTTGCTATTCTTCAAATATTTTAAACCACATACAGATTCAAATGAGTTAAAGCAGTGATCATGCAAACACTCTTTCCTGTAAAACCTTTAGAGGAAAGTCTGACATCAGATCGGTGTGCTATTTATTCCGCGTTCTTACTGATCACATGATTGAATGAAATGAGTGCTGATAATCATAGGACAGAACTATAAAGAAGCATTGCTCAGAAGAACATAGTTACCCTGAAGGTTCACAACACATGAACAATGAACCGCCTACAACCCCGATAACACTCTTTGGTGGAGAGAAAAAACACAGTTAATACTCATCCGTGGGATTCATTTCAAAATCTGCAAATCTCCTTTTAGAGTTCGGCCAGACTAAACAAAAAAGAGTCAAGCTAAATGAGAGAGGGGAATATTTTAGCCTAGAACTTCCAAAAAAGCAGCAACAACACTGTATGAGGCAACAAACACTTGAATAAGAGCTATGCAAAGCTGTCAACCAGGTCTCCAGGGTTGATGACTACTGCCCCCTGCTTTGTGTCTCTTATTACTGCAGCCCATAGATCTTGGGCTCAGTCACTCAAGTTTTCATCATCTTTTTCGCTTTGCTCCTCCTCATCTTCCCCTCCTCCGTTCATGGCCCCCATCCTGGCCAGCAGCAGCGGCAGGTTTACGGAGAGACCTGGCGTCTCCTCGTCAGAGTCATCCTTTGGAGGGTAGAATCGTTTTGCCTTTGCCACAAAATCTTCAGCTATATCTAGGTACAGGAGACGATCCTGTAAAGAAGGAGAAAAACAACAGGCTGAAGCAAAAGAACGGAACCAAATATGAACACAGACAGAAAAAAAGTGGGATTTTTGTTGTATCCATAATATGCCAACCTTTCTTTGTGATGATACAAAGCTGAATGAAATCTGAGTTGTTGTTTTTTTTTTAAAAAGCCGAATTAAATTGCAGCTTCCTACTCTTTTGATGTCACAACTTAAATAAAACTGATATTATTTGGACTAAACCACTTAACCCATCGTAACTCATTACAATCTACACTATAATGAGAGCTGGACAGCCTTGGCAATCTATTAAAGAATAATATCGATCATATTTGCCCATGAATGATGCAGTTTATCTACTTGTGACTCGAACTAAACTTCACAGGGCTGTTTTCAAACCTTAATCAGAAGGCAATAGCAAAGTTAATCTGATTTAGTATGAAGTCAAAGTTCAGTGATGGTGCACTTCCCACCAGCAAGCCCCATTTTCTCACCAGGATGAAAAGATATCTTTCTGGTGGTGGTTCTTTGTTGCTGTTGAAGATGGAGGTCTCAGAGTGAAGTGTGTGAAGGAGGGCACGTGCTCTCGGGGCGTTACGCATGCGGTCATGTGAGCCCCCAGCAGACACAGCCAGCAGAGAGTCTGCTTCTGCCATAAAACCTGGAAAATATGGCAGATAATCTCAGCATGGATTGTCAATAATCTCTCAGACTATAGCATGTCTCATCGGTCAAGCCCCACCTAGATTTTCCAGGATTGTCTTCCATTTCTCTCTGACTTCTCTGCGTGTGTCTCTCATGGCCTCGATATCAACACTCAGACGACGATAGCCCTGGACAAGAAAAGGAGAATAACCTCAAAAGGCATTTAAATTAACCGGATAATCAAATAACCTCCAAAAAGTACTCACAGTGCAATGTAAAATGTTGCATTTCAAATGTAAAATTTGAACTGCAACTTATACAGTTATTTTTAAGCTATTTGTGTCAGATTTTCTTTTATTCCACCTTGAAAAAACACATTTTTGTTAGTCCCTGCCCCACATACCGTGGAGCCCATGCGGGTCTTCTGCCTGGCCTGCAGCAGAGAGTAGAGCACCCGGTCATCCTGTCTCTCTGAATGGCTGGGGTCTCCCGGCTCACTCCACAGGTTTGTTTCCTCATCTCGACGCTTCTGGACTTCACGGGTAAAATAGTCCAACGGATCCGCACTGTGCGGTCAGCCAACGCAGACAAGAAGAGACACGAGCTGTTAACACAAATTCAAACATTGGCTGTACGTGATATACATGATATGCTTGTCTGTGTCATCTTACGGTACTAAAGGCTGCTTTTCATCTTCTTCTTCTTCATCATCAGCAACACAGCAGCAGCAGCAGAACTGCATGCAGAACCTGTTAAAGGCTGAACCCATCTATTAAGAACAGAGTCAGCTGGTAGTGGATGTTCACAATGTCAGATAATCCAGAGAGAAGTTGTGTTTCAGTTCTTTCACAAGTGGAACGCCCTCTTGGATGCCAGAGGAGAATCTGCCACAGTCCCTGTGGGATGCTCTGTAGAGATTCTTTACAAAGCGGACCTTAGCCAAAACCTATATTTTGGCAAAGGAAAAAGCAGCTGTGACAACATTCAAGCCCTCCACTAATAAAAAGAACGAATAAAAATCATCATGAATAAGAACAAGTAGGAAAAAAGCTACAAAATAAAGGTCACAGATCTAAAACTCTACCAAGTTTTTAGCTTCCCATTTTCCAGGATTTCACTGAAGCGCCAAATTGACGAGAGGTTTTCCCTCCAGATTATTGGCCTGATGGAAAAGTGCTCAGGCAGATGACGGCAGCCCAAGGACCGATGCTTCTCATCAGCTTTACATGGAGGACAACAAGAGCAGTGGGACGCTTGTGCTCTCATCGAAACAAAAAGAAACACAAATTCCCACACCCACATCCTCAGAAGACAGTCACAGCACAATCATGTGAGCTGCTTCATCTCTCAAGCAATGTGTTTTGCCCCAAGGACAGCAGATCTCTTCTGCAGCAGTAAGATTAATTACACTCCATAACAAGTCTGCCGTTGCAGTGTCGATTCAGGGATTATGCAACTGGATTATTTAGCATTACTTAATCGTGTTCTGTGTTTAAATAAAAAATTTCTTTGGGGAGTATCAGTTTATTTTTGAAAACTTTTGAAAACGCTTCATGCTTATTTTTGATTAAGTCACACAGAGAACAGTGACCTCTGGCAAAGTTCTGTGAGTGCAGCAATGAATATCATGCAAGGCTGCAGAAACAGGGCGTTATTATTCATAACATAAGCACCCACAGAGAAACATATGGGTAGAAGCTACTCTTGTGTGTATGTATGGATGGATGCAGGGATGGATGGGTAGATAGATAACTACAAGGGTATCTATCTACCTATGTTAAAAAATATATATTCAAAAATAAGAGCACAAGATTTATACAAGTTAATACAGATACTGGTTAAATATGTGAGTTGAAGGAAGTCAGAGCTAGATCATCTTTTCATATATTTTATTAGACGTAAGACACTGTTTAAGACTCAGTAAAAAATCTTGTTCAGTAGTGATGAGCATAAATTAAAATGTTTGTATAAACAAATCAATTTAAAATTATAAAAAACACAGTTAAGTATTCTAAGCAGGGTTTATGTAAATAATCTTTGTGGAGGATATGAAAGCACAGACATAACAGCAGGAAATAAATGGAAAAGTAAAACAAAAGACTGGCATGTAAAACTACTCTGATAAAAGGCACCAAATTATTGATATCATTATTTATTTTCACTTCCAACATTCCTTCAGTACAGTAAGTATTGTAAATGAGTCCTGATTTATTATCCAGATAATCTTAATAAACTTGTTTTTTAGGGCTTAATGATTTCTGAGCGTGACTAAATACACAAGCTTATGAAGAGTAATGCCTCACAGTCGGTGGTGTAACTGTGACACCCACACAAGTGTTATTACCGTTACACCAATATAGAAAAGTTCAGGGAAGACCAGCGCCCTCTTCAGGTCAACTTCACAATAACTTCAACCAACTTCATCTTTTAAATTCTTTTGATTCCAGATGTAATCCTAAAAATTGATCTTCCGAGGTACATCATAACACTGATACACAACTTAAGCTGCAGGGGATGTCTTCTTCTTTTTTTTTTCCATGATTAAAAACATTAACAAAACTTCATTCAGTGCCACACCTCAGGCCACAGGGGGCCTAATCTAATTATAGCAGTATAGTAATAACCTTTCATGACAAATAAGTCAAGCTACTTCAACACAAGGCCACTTGAGGTTATTGGCAAAACAAAACAAAACATTAGTATACAGCATCCTAACCTATGAACATTATCTTTTGTACTAACTGTCTAACAGCCTGCTGATCCGAGTCCTGGTTTGAACTCCTGGCTGATCCCAAAGTGCAAAACAAAAGCAGCATTTAAAAAAAAAACAAAAAAAAAAAAACATACAGTAATTAAATGTTTGCTTTAATGTTGCACTATGGCACAGAAGCTGGTGTCAAACCAAGAAGGCTTCACTGTGTGGATCAGTGGTGTCTCCCTCTAGTGGTGACCAGATAGCAGAGAGCCCCCTGTAATGTATCACAGTGTAGTAAAGTAGAAGAAACTGTGTAGAAATATGGCTGTGAAGTGCAGGCAGGTGCCTCAGAAAAACAAATCCATGACGGTGCAGTGAAAAAATAGACACACACACGTGCGCACACACACACACACACACACACACACACACACACGCACACACACACACACACAAAAAAGCAGTAAATCAATGACTATCAATGTGTGCAGAAAGATAAGGCTCAGAGAGACAGCTGTTTCAGTCATACTACTGTTATAGCTATTCTGTA